GCAGAGATATGGCACAGTGAGGCTTGGGGCAGAGAGATGACACAGAGAGGCTGGTGGCAGAGAGATGGCACAGAGTGAGGCTAAGGGCAGAGAGATAGCACAGAGAGGCTGTGGGCAGAGACATGGCACAGAGAGGTTTGGGGCAGAGATGACACAGTGCTGAGCAGGGAGGGGGTGGCTGTGAAGGTACAGGGAGGGGGCTGTCAGGGTGCAGGGAGGGAGGGGGCTGTGAAGGTGCAGGGAGGGGGCTGTGAGGGTGCAGGGATGTCTGTGAAGGTGGAGAGACCACCCCCGGGTTAGCCCCCCCATATTGAGAATTTTAACAAAAGATTATTCCATTTGTTAGATCTTTGTTAGATCAGGTTTGATCAACAATTTTTCTCGTTAGATCTACTCTAAAATATGCGATATTAACAATCATTGTCAGGGGGGGCTAACCCGTAGCCAGCCCCCCCTCAACAAAAATTTGGAGAAAATGTTGTTGATTATGATAGCTCTACGTTAGATCAGGTTCGATCAGGCAAAATTTTTGTTTGATCTAGTCTAATTACTGAGATATTGCATATATAATTAGGGGGGGCTGGCCCCCCCTCAACTGAAATTTGGACAAAATGTTACTGATTTTGGTAGCTATTCGTTAGATCAGGTTTGATCAACTGTTTTTTTCGTTAGATCTATCACGCAAGAGGCGGTATTCCCTACTTAACTTTGTGGGCGTGACTACGGGTTAGCCCCCCCTCAAGTGAAATTTGAATTTTTTTTATTGATTTTGGTAGCTATTCGTTAGATCAGGTTTGATCAACTATTTTTTTCGTTAGATCTATCACGCAAGAGGCGGTATTCACTACCTAACTTTGTGGGCGTGACTACGGGTTAGCCCCCCCTCAAGTGAAATTTGCATTTTTTTTTATTGATTTTGGTAGCTATTCGTTAGATCAGGTTTGATCAACTGTTTTTTTCGTTAGATCTATCACGCAAGAGGCAGTATTCACTACTTAACCTTGTGGGCGTGACTACGGGTTAGCCCCCCCTCAAGTGAAACTTTAATTTTTTTTTTATTGATTTTGGTAGATATTCGTTAGATCAGGTTTGATCAACTGTTATTTTTCGTTAGATCTATCACGCAAGAGGCGGTATTCACTACTTAACTTTGTGGGCGTGACTACGGGTTAGCCCCCCCTCAAGTGAAATTTGAATTTTTTTTTATTGATTTTGGTAGATATTCGTTAGGTCAGGTTTGATCAACTGTTTTTTTCGTTAGATCTATCACGCAAGAGGCGGTATTCACTACCTAACTTTGTGGGCGTGACTACGGGTTAGCCCCCCCTCAAGTGAAATTTGAATATTTTTTCATTGATTTTGGTAGATATTCGTTAGATCAGGTTTGATCAACTATTTTTTTCGTTAGATCTATCACGCAAGAGGCGGTATTCACTACCTAACTTTGTGGGCGTGACTACGGGTTAGCCCCCCCTCAAGTGAAATTTGAATTTTTTTTATTGATTTTGGTAGATATTCGTTAGATCAGGTTTGATCAACTGTTTTTTTCGTTAGATCTATCACGCAAGAGGCGGTATTCACTACTTAACTTTGTGGGCGTGACTACGGGTTAGCCCCCCCTCAAGTGAAATTTGAATTTTTTTTTATTGATTTTGGTAGCTATTCGTTAGATCAGGTTTGATCAACTGTTTTTTTCGTTAGATCTATCACGCAAGAGGCGGTATTCACTACTTAACTTTGTGGGCGTGACTACGGGTTAGCCCCCCCCTCAAGTGAAATTTGAATTTTTTTTTATTGATTTTGGTAGCTATTCGTTAGATCAGGTTTGATCAACTATTTTTTTCGTTAGATCTATCACGCAAGAGGCGGTATTCACTACCTAACTTTGTGGGCGTGACTACGGGTTAGCCCCCCCCTCAAGTGAAATTTGAATTTTTTTTTATTGATTTTGGTAGATATTCGTTAGATCAGGTTTGATCAACTGTTTTTTTCGTTAGATCTATCACGCAAGAGGCGGTATTCACTACTTAACTTTGTGGGCGTGACTACGGGTTAGCCCCCCTCAAGTGAAATTTGAATTTTTTTTCATTGATTTTGGTAGCTATTTGTTAGATTAAGTAAGATCAACTGTTTTTTTCCGTAAGATCTATCACGCAAAAGGCGGTATTCACAATCTTATTTTAATTTTGCACATAAATACCAGTAAATTTTCATATCAAGCCACAGGTGACATCATAATTTAGGAATTTGCTTGGATTTGCTAACACAATGTGTAGATCATTTTCAATATTTTTTTTTTTTATTCTCTACATGCACAGTATTGAGGTGATAAAGTCCAGCATATGCCCCGTCTGAACGTATTAGTGATATTTGAATACAGTTGCAAGAAAAAGTATGTGAGCCCTTTGGAATGATATGGATTTCTGCACAAATTGGTCATAAAATGTGATCTGATCATCATCTAAGTCACAACAATAGACAATCAGTCTGCTTAAACTAATAACACACAAATAATGAAATGTTGCCATGTTGTCCAAATTTCAGTTGTCCAAATTTCATTTTGTCCAAATTTCAGTTGAGGGGGGGCCAGCCCCCCCTAATTATATATGCAATATCTCAGTAATTAGACTAGATCAAACAAAAATTTTGCCTGATCAAACCTGATCTAACGTAGAGCTATCATAATCAACAACATTTTCTCCAAATTTTTGTTGAGGGGGGGCTGGCTACGGGTTAGCCCCACCTGACAATGATTGTTAATATCGCATATTTTAGAGTAGATCTAACGAAAAAAATTGTTGATCAAACCTGATCTAACAAAGATCTAACAAATGGAATAATCTTTTGTTAAAATTCTCAATATGGGGGGGCTAACCCCTTATGCCTGTCCCACGCATGCTTAAACTCCTTTACTGTGTTAACCTCT